GCAGCTCGCCCTCGCTTCAGATTTCCTAACGCTTTCTCAACTTCATGAAGACTAGGGGGACTTCTGTCCACTTGCCATTCAGGATGGCTGGGGATCGTGGGCAACCGAAGTGTGTCTGAAGGTCAGTTGAACTGATTCCTAAATGCTCATCGATCCAATCTCCCGGATTGAGAATGAATGATACAACCATCCTTTCCTGAGATGGATTTCTAATACCGGTTTCCTTGATGAGTCGGTACAACTGTCTGTTGTTGCCTATCGCCGCTGCCTTTTCCATCGCTTTTGCTTTCGCCATCCACCACTGTTCGCGGTCGTTTCGTAGACTTTTTACCAGCCTGCGCCTCGACTGACCCAGCTGCTCAGAGTTTTCGAGCATCCATCAGTTCGGTAGATGCTACTGAGATCCACGGCGTCTTCCTAGACTTATGGTTTACCTTACTAGCAGATATCACTGCTGTTTCCACAGCCTTTGTGATATCATTCTAACCTGCCTCCTCACGGGAATCGCTTACATGGTCGCCTAACTGTTTTTCTGGTTGTTACTGAAATATATTCTTAGCTTTATTATCATTATCAAATTGCAACGCTTTAGCTTCATTCACAACATTCCTAATCAGTAACTGATTACCGGCTGTCATCAAAATAAACAATTCATCACTTGAACCGAGAAGGGTTTAAGTGTATCATTTTGTTTTGGTGTTTTTTAAAGTTACTTACAAAGGTCCCATTTTATGTATCACAATAATCCGACTAATATGTCTATCATAGTTGCCTGTATGAATTGGCTTTAAACATTTAAAGCGCATGGATTTCTTGATCTTGTTCAGTTCATACTACAGATTATCAACCAATCAATCATTATTGTCATCTTCGCTATGTTTTACAGTGTAGGAGTAGATTGGAAGAAAGTTAGGGTGGGCCAAACCGAAACATGGCACAAATCCATGAAGTCATTGACAAGTGGATTGAGTCATGTTGGTAGATGTAGGCTGTCTGGTTGAGGTCCGAGAGACGAAAGTCACCAGTGGTTAGAGACTTTGAACGACATGGCTCAGAATCGTTTGCAATGGCGCAGGTGCATCCATTATTTGTGTGCTTATTAATTCTAACCTTGTGAATTCCTCATAATCTCTATCTTTCTCCTTCTAAATTTATCTCACTACATCATATCTTCGCTCCCTAATCTTCTACATTACTGCTAATATTTTTAATATCGTTATCACTCTTGGATTTGAACTGACAATTGCGTCTCTGTGTGCTGATGTGGTATGACAATCTGAACTGATGTACTTATGTACAAAGTTCTACGTTGTATCTATCTGTCTGTCTATCTATTATCTTCGCTACTTTCTGCCTACTAATTAATAATAGTTTATTTTAATGCATCACTAAATTTGTGCATATACAAGACAAGACGTGATCGATCATCATTTGTATCATTCAACTATGTACCGATAAAACTGCACATACTCTACTAAATAATTCCACCCAATTTCCTATTCAATTTTTAACCATACACACACTGATGACTAATAATTGTATTCATAGACAATATGATAATGTCTCCACTGTCTAACTAACATTCCATTGTTTGTTTGTTCATCTATCTTTTTATTTACGTTTTTTCTGAATTAACAAGAAAATTACGATTTCTTATTGATGAACATTCATTTATATATATATATATATATATATATATCTGGATTTCCATATAAGAGGATATACTAGTTTGACTAAATGATGCGTTAGTGTGTTTGTTGGTGACAAATTGTTTTTGTGTATGTGTCTAAAAGAAACAAATTATTTTTTTTTATTTCTTTTTTATTTTCGTCTACTTTTGTCTACTTTTTTTCTTTTTGAATGTTATTTTTTACTCAACACCATATATGTATATAGGGATTTTCCCATATGATTTTTTGATTGACTTCCATGTTGTATATGTGTTTGTATTGACTTTCTCCTAACTGTCATAACCACCATTGTACCCTATAATAACTAGTTACATGTTGTTTATGTTGTGGAAGTTGTTTATAAGGCCTAGTATTTTAGGTACTAGTATTTTTCGAACTAGACACACGCATTTGAAAACCAACCCATTTTAATCGCCTGCCACTCTTTTTTTCTTTTTTTACAAGTTTTATAATCTTTTGTCTTGCATTCTCTGTCTGTCGTTTTGTAGGCAATAGAATTCTTATCCTAGTCTAAATTATCAGGAGTAGACCTTTTACCAGGAGGCTCGTTTATTGACTTAGAATATGCCGATGACATAGTCCTACTCGGTGAAGACATTGACAAAATGCAGAGTCTTCTGACTACCCTAAGCAACGATGAAAGCATCTTCGGGATGCGGCTTTCCCCGTCAAAATGCAAAATGTTGCTTCAAGATTGGGTTGCATCGGCACCTGAACTAGTGATAGGGAGTGAAGTAGTCGAACGTGTAGACCGCTTCACTTATCTGGGGAGTCTCATCAGTGCTGATGGCCTGGTGACTGACGAAATCTCAACGCGGATGCAGAAGGGTCGATTGGCTTTTCCAACCTGCGTCACTTATGGCGTAGGCGAGATATGCGTTTGCTGACTAAAGGACGAGTGTACTGTGCAGTGGTTCGCTCCGTCTTACTTTATGGTTGTGAAACATGGCCAGTGAGAGTAGAAGATATCCGTAGGTTACTAGTCTTCGATCATAGATGTTTAAGAAGCATTGCTCGTATATCGTGGGACACCCGAGTGAGCAACGCTGTTAGTAGGAAACGGGTGCCAGGTAACAATGGCAGATCAATAGATGAAGTGGTGAAACTTCATCAGTTGAGGTGGTTGGGACATGTGTTGCGTATGTCTAACCACCGACTGCCTCGTCGAGCTTTGTTTTGTAGTGTAGGAGTAGGTTGGAAGAAAGTTAGGGGCGGCCAGACCAAAACATGGCAGCAATCCGTGAAGTGTTTGACAAGTGGACTGTGTCATGTCGGTAAATGTAGGCTACCTGGTTGGGGTCCGCGAGATGATGACAATCGATGGTTATAGACTCTGTATGAGATGTCTCAAAATCGTTTGCAATGGCGCCGGTGCATTCATTTTTTGTGTTCTCTCAAATTCTCATATTCTGGATTCTTCAACACCTCTAGTTTTGTCTTTCTAAACTTTTCTACCGGAATCATACTTCTTGAATAATATCTTCTCATCCTAACCTCTTCGATTACTTCCAATGCCTTTACTACCTCTACTACTATTGGATTTTAATTAACAATTATATCTCTGTACTAATGTGGTATGGCAATATGAATGAAGCTCTACGTTGCATCTGACTGACTGACTGAATGGCAACTTAGAAACGTTAAGGAAATGATTAGGTATACAGTCATTACCATAGTCGGCTTTAACAATTTAAGGAAATATGCAAATATTTTGAGATTCTCTTCCTATATTAGTCTGTACATATACGTCTGAACTAGTTAAATGAAATGGAATCGTAGTAGTACAATTGTGTGTTTAAAAGTTAGAGAATTATTACTGATATGACAGTAAGTATGATCAAATCTTATGCGTATGTTTCTTTAGTCATTATGGTTTGTTAGGAATTATTATTATCCGAGGATACAAGATGGAAGAGTTCTGTTCTGTACATGACGAAATGAATAAATCATGTATCGAATACATCTTGTAAAAGAAATATTGAAATTGACATAAACTATAGTAATCATAAGAAAATGATCTAGGTATACGCAAAGAAATGAAGTTTTACATTTATCCAGTGCTGCTGGTTGATAGAAAGTAATTAATTTTCCAGACTCGGCAACCAGTGATGTTCGTTTACATAAGACTAGTCTAGAAATTGTTTGCGCGTTTAGTGAACAACGACATGCAGGGGATTTATTTATAAACAACGTAAAATCTGACAAATATCTACATTAATTCAAGATGCCACATCAGATCAGTACATTACAATGAAATTATCTAGACCAATGCCAGAGTAGTAGTGGTAGCAATGCCCATTATGCAGATCACAAATGAACTAGTCAAATACAGTGTGGTTAGTAAAGAAAGACAAGATTTATGAAATAAAATAATGGTTTTATTTTAAACACTTAAGATCTGAAAGGACAACATCGATTGGACAAATCTTCACCACTGAGACTAATTCAGAGTCATATCACCTCTTCTTTTCTTTTATCGATTACAACAATAGTATGGATGACGATCTGCTAGTCTACACCTACAAACATAAATCACAGACTGCATCAACATCTTACTTTGAATGCGGTTACCATTTTCTTCCAATCATCCACGTTTCCTTACTACTATTACTACTGAACATTTGTTCATTGACTCATTATTATGTTGTTCAGTTGTGATAAATCTAAATTTCTAATAAAATATCTTGTATGTTTGTTTATCCACTATTCAGTAATATGGTGAGATGATTTATTGATCAGTTTGTCTGAATGACTAAATTGCTTACGTACTTCCATAAAACTGATCGAAAATATGCAAAATATACACAAATGTGTTTGAACTTGATTTACATGGTTGAATGAAACTTGATTGGTAAACTTTTACCGTATAACCAACGTATGATTTGTTTGTTTTTTCAAACTTAATTTTCTTAAATTTTTGTTTGTTCTGAAGATAATCGAGAAATTTCTACGCGCTCACACTTGATAAAGTGTTCTTCTATAATATTACATATGCATACTGTAAAATGTATTTTCAACTGACTTCACTTTAAATCTAATAGGCCATTGATAGTCTGAACCACATACCAACCCACCTGAATTCATATAACATTGTTTGGAACTGCAGAATCTAGTTATGCAGCTTTGATTGAATCCTGTAATGGTTTTCAGTTATTGCAAGATTGTAGATTCTCTCTTCTGCTTCCGACTTCCTGATAACCTATATCCCTAAGATCACCCCTTCGATTTCTTCCAACCATGCGACACAATAGATCGAAACTGTTTTTTTTTCTACACATGCATTAGTTAAAATTAATTTTTTTTTTGTAGGCAGAGAAACTAATTGATTTCATTGATACAAAAAGTAGCGCTAAAATGAAGAGTCAATCAAAGCTGACCAATGTACAAAATGATAGAAATAATGAAGAAGATAAAGCTATTACTCAACAATATCTACTCAAATTTCGATTAGCTGATGTAAAAGTTGCTGAACGTTTAGCATTACAATTATATACAATCTGTAATAGAGTAATACAAAATTCAACTGATCATCATAATACAACAATAAGTGATGATCACAATGAAAACAATGATGAGAATATATTTACACGATTTAATCGACAATTTCGTGATACGTAAGTAAATTATTATACATTTATATTGTATATATACATATATATATAATCTTAGAATGTTGTCTATTGACTTTTGCCAACTTGCGTCACTTATGGCGCAAGCGAGATAGATATCCGCTTGTTAACCAAATGTCGAGTGTACTGCGCAGCAGTTCGCTTAGTCCTACTATACGGATGACAAATCAATAGATGAACTAGTGAAACTTCATCAGTTGAGGTGGTTGAGACATGTGTTACGAATGCCTAACCGTCGACTGCCTCGACGAGCTATGTTTTACAGTGTAGGAGTAGGTTGGAAGAAAGCTAGCGGCGGCCAGAACAAAACATGGCAGAAATCCATGAAGTCATTGACGAGTGGACTAAGTCATGTTGATAGATGTAGGCTATCTGGTTGGTGTCCGTGAGATGAAAGTCACCAATGGTTAGAGACCTTGAACGACATGGCTCAGAATCGTTTGCAATGGTGAGCGCAGGTGCATCCACTCTTTGTGTTCTCTCTAATTCTAAGCTTCTGAATTCCTCATAATCTCTATCTTTCTCCTTCTAAATTTATCTCGTTGAATTATACTTTTCGAATCATATCTTTGCTCCCTAATCTTCTCCATTACTGCTAATACTTCTACTATCACTATCACTGTTGAATTTGAACTGACAATTGCGTCTCTGTGTGCTGATGTGGTATGACAACCTGAACTGATGTACTTATGTACGAAGTTTTGCGTTGTATCTGTCTGTCTGTCTAGAATGTTGTCTATAATTACCGGATAATCTAAACGATTAGCTTAATTTGATGGTTTTAACTTTAATTCGCTGAGTAAGTGTGGCACATAAAAAAAAATGAATTTTTAGATATTTTTTTCTGTATAAAAAACAAGTAAACTAATGACCATCTCATCCTGATACTAATTGATTGACAATAATAATAATATTGTAGTGAACGTGAACACAGGTGAGGGCAACCGAATTGTATTTAACGAAAATTACAGAGTTACTTAGTAAAATAGGAAAACCACATATCGTAAACGGTTAATTAGCAAATCTTCAATCCATCATATCAAACTGGACTGTTGTTCCTGTTGCAAAACATCAATCCATTGTCACTACTATTTATGCGTTTCTTACAAAATTCCATTGTGTTCCCACTCTTCCTTTCTTCTTGATCTTTCCCCATCTTCTGCTGCTGTCAGACATTACGTTGACACTCACGTCATATACTACTACTTATAAGTAGCTCGCACCACAATATTCACAATAATCATTATAAACCAAATAAGCATTGAACTACCGATGTTCAATTTTTTCAAATAGTATCTTTTCAATAATTTCATATCTGTTGGTGTATATTTATTTCTCTTAAACTACTAAAAAAAAATTAAAAAATAAATTCTTATTCTTCTATTATAAGTAATAAAAAAATAAAAAAAAAACTAACAACAAACAAGCTGATTTTGTAGTAGTTTGTAGTTTCTTGTTTTTTTATTCTACATTCTTTAAAATGTGATTGACATTACCTAGCTCACATCACTAGCTTCATTTAATTAATTAATCAATAAAAGTCATGCAAAACTCTACACGCGTAATTAATTGTTTCATCATCAAACTGCACAAACCTTTATTTCAACACAATATGGAAAAAAAATAACAAAACCTTAATATCTAATGTATGTATGTGAGAGGTAATAAAATGGAAATATAACGACAGATGGAACGACGTTATCTGCGGTTTAATAAGATGAAAATTCCGATTGTTATAGTCGATAAATAGAATGCTAGTCGATAGTCAATTAGTCATTTATGATGTAGAACTTTATACGTAAGTACATCAGTTCAGGTAGAAGTAGTAGTGTGGTGTGAGCTACTTATAAGTAGTATATGACGTAAGTGTCAACGTAATGTCTGGCAGCAGAATATGGCGGAAGATCAAGAAAGGAAGAGTTAGAACACAATGGAATTTGTATGAAACGCATGAATAGTGACAATGGATTGATGTTTTGCAACAGGAACAGTCCAGTTCGATATGATGAACTGATATATTGCAAATGAACGATTTTGCGATATGGTTTTCCAATTTTACTGAGTAACTCTGTAATTTTCGTTAAATACAATTCGGTTGCCCCACTTGTGTTCTCGTTCACTACAGTAGGAGTATTAGCATTAATGGAGAAGATTGGGGATCGAAGATATGATTTAAGAAGTATTATAGTTCAGTGAGATAAATTTAGAAAGAGAAATATAGAGATGATTAGGAATTTTGAAGATTAGAATTTGAGAGAGGAGAACACAATGAATGAATGCAAACGATTTTGAACATGCAAATATATCCAATTGATGACATGTCTTGAATACAATAGAACCCTCATTACAGATTCTACTCTTAGTCAACTATTAATTTCACTAAATTTCTCACCATAGATAACATTATTAGGACACCTCGCATCATGTTAAATAAGATCAAACATCTAACAAATCTCAAATTACAACTAAACATTATCAATTCACTGATTCCAGATTATAATTCATCAAGTTGCTAATGAATTATTCATTCAAATTTTGTCACTGTCTTCAATCGTAACTCAAGTGAACCTTTTCACTATTCAACCTGGAGATCATTATCATGTTGTGTATGCCTAACCACCGACTGCCTAGTAGAGCTATATTTTGCGGTGTGGGTATGCGTTGGACGAAAGCTAGGGGCGGCCAGAATAACATGGCAGCAATCCATGAAGTCACTGACAAGTGGACTGTCTCATGTTGGTATGTGTACACTACCTGGTTCGGGTTCGCGAGATGATAATAATCGATGGTTAGAAACCTTAAATAACATGGCTCAATACCGTTTGCAATGGCGCCGGTGCATTCATTCTTTGTGTTCTCTCAAATCCTAATCTTCTGGATTCTTCAACCCCTCTAGTTTTGTCTTTCTAAACTTTTCTCACTGAATCATACTTCTTGAATAATATCTTCTAATCCTAACCTCTCCGATTACTTCTAATACCTTTACTACCTCTTCTACTACTATTGGATTTGAATTGACAATTACATCTCTGTGCTGATGTGGTTTGGCAACATGAACTAATGTACTTACGTACGTACGAAGTTGTACGTTGCTACTGACTGATCCATTGTCACATTGAACAAAAGCAGCGAAATAAAATGCAGTATTTGTTAATTTTTCCTACATTTTCTTTGTTTATAAGTGTTCAATGTTTGTTTACAATAAAAAAAGTAATTTGTCGCATTTTAGTCAAAAAATCGATTATGTATTTTATGTTACGTTACAGTAGTTGTTTTTTCTTTCTAGTTTTCATTTATTTATGTATGACATTTTTTTCATGGTTGATACCAGTGGATTCATTCATATCACTTTTTTAGTTTATAATAATAATCATAATCATAATAGTAATAATTTTGTTTTGATTCAGTGATGAATAAAAACTCATTTTATCAGTAGTATTTTGATTCACTCAGTTTCATTATCATGTATGTAGCATTTTTTGGGCTAATTTGTTTACGATTGACAGAATGAATGATTATGATAATCAAAGGTTATCTGATATTTATATATATATTTTTTTTTCTGTGTTTATATATGATGACTGTACACTTTCCAATCAGTGAAATGACATTCAACTCTAAAACATATTTATTAAAATCATGAAACGATGAATATTACTTACTTACTTACGCCTGTTACCGCTTAATGGACTTTGCATAGAAAACTGTTAATAAACACTCCATACAATAGCAATGTCTTGACGATCATATTGAAAATGGTGACTTTGAGTTTCAGATGTTCTTGAATTGTAGAAATACTGCCCTTACTTTGCTAATCCATGTCTTAACATTTGCATCAGATCCATGTTGTTTATCAATAATGATGCCTAGGTATGTAAAGGTCTCCATATCTTCCAAAGTGTTGGGGATGTTAGATAAACCCAGAACTCGCTTGATAAATGTCTTATTTTGGATTTCACGTTTGCCAGTATGGGTTGATCAGTTAACCTTGAGATTTCATGTCCCACCAGGAAAATCCATGGCTGTGATTGGCTGCTGTGTATTTTAGTGTGCTATTTTCGTAACTGTCCCAAGGACGTTTCTATGATGTATAAATAAACGAGAGTTGTATGCTTGATTGTATTGTGTGATTGCTGGGTGTTTGTAGAATATACTTTCTACGCTTACAAAGTCTTCTATCTTCAGCTTGGGATTCAAGGTAGCCTATCTGGACGCTGGTAATTGTCTCGTTCGCGTTTATCGACTAAGGTGAACTCGTAATAGCTTCAAGCGTACCTAGTGTCGAACATAACACAAAGCTTCTCCATCAAGTGTGATTTGGTTATGTGCATGTTGTGTTGTATCGGACAATCCTGTATATGTTGAGACTTACTGCTGCAGAGGCTGTTTCTGTTACATTAGCTGTCTTCATCTGCATTTGTTGTTGAGTGTGGGATAGAAGGGTTAGGTTATCTGCGAACTCCAAACCGTCTAACTGAATCCTAGTTATTCACCGTATTCCGTTACTCTCCTGAGATGTTGACTTCTTCATTATCTAGCCGACGATCTGGAGAAAGAGAAAGGGTGAGAGTAAGCAACCTTGCCTCACATCGGTCTTCACCTCGAACGAGTCTGTCAGCTGTCCACCGTGCACGATTTCACAGGTGAATCCATCATAACGATTCCGTATGATGTTGGCTATCTTTTCAGGCACTCCGTAGTGTCAAAGAGGCCTCCATAGTGTTTTCTTGTCGACGCTATTGAATGCTTTCTCGTAGTCAATGAAGTTGATGTAGAGTGATTAGTTCCACTCAATTGATTGTGTTCCACAATGATCCGTAAGGTTGCAATTTGGTCGGTACACGACCGATCCTTACGGAATCCAGACTGTTGATCTCGAATTTGGGCGTCTACGAAGTCCTTCATTCTGTTTAAAAATTACCTGTTGAAGACCTTGCCTGGTATTAAGGGGAGAGTGATGTCTCTGCAGTAGTTCTCACACTTAC